GAATTGGGGTCTTCCCAGCCCCAGTTCTGCATTCTTAGAGCTACTCTTGCTCAAGTGCGCGGACTCTAATCTGGAAGAACGGGGTTTGATTCCCCACTCCTCCACTTGCACCTGCTGGAGTGATCTTGGGTCAGTTACAAATTCTCTCAGAGCTGTTCTCTCGTGAGCAGTCCTGGAAAGAGCTCTCTCAGCCCCACCTACCTCACAGGGCGTCTGTTGTGGGGAGGAGTTTGTCAGCCGCTCTGAGACTCCCTTGGGTAGTGAAGGGCGGGGTATAAATCCAATTTCTTCTTCTTCTTCTTCTTCTTCTTCTTCTTCTTCTTCTTCTTCTTCTTCTTCTTCTTCTTCTTCTTCTTCTTCTTCTTCTTCTTCTTCTCCACATGGGGTCTCTTTTGATAGGGTTGCCAGTTCTGGGTTGGGAAATTCCTGGTGGCTTGAAGCCCAACGAGGTCAGAGTTGGGGAGGAAGGGCACTTCAGCAGGGTATAATGCCGTAGAGTCCGTCCTCCAAAGCAACCATTTTCTCCAGGGGAAGTGATCTCTGCCGTTTAGAGATCAGCAGTGATTCCAGGAGAACTCCAGCCCCCAACCGGAGGGTGGCAACCCTAGGGGGTCCAATTAAGTAGTGGGCGGGGCATGCGGAACTCAGCCCACACCCACTCAGCCAGCATAAGCCCCAAGCCGATTCGGTTGTGCAAACTGGCCTTTGTAATCTGGGGGTGAAATCCAAACTCTCAGTGCTCTCAGGCATGGGTGGCTTAGTTCTGTGGTGCAACGCAACAGACGTCTCCGTGTGCTAGCAGGGGACCGAACTGGCCTTGACTGGAATTAAGTGGGCCACGTTGTTACACTAATGACCTTTAACAATCCTTCCTGGCCTGGGACCCACCCATCCAGAGGACGGGCTGTACACATTTATCCTCATGCATCAGTTGTGGTCTTCAAGTTGCCACCTGATGGGGGTGCCCTGACTGCAGGTGGTGGCCCAACTGGTGCTGATAAGGGCCGGTGCTTTCCCCGTGGCCACTCCGGCTTCATGGGACAGGAGGCGGAGGGGGGCTACGCTTGGCAACTTTGGGGAGATGCTCTAAAGCGGCTTTATTCACCACAGCTTCTAATGGAGTGTAAGTTGCAAGCCTTGCGGTAGGTGCGTGCCTGCAAAGGGCATTGGGGTTCTATGGTCGTCTGATGCTCTCCATTACCGTAAACCACCCTGAGCCATGTGACAAGGCGGGATGTAGATGTTTCAATCAATCAGTCAAAGTTGTGAAAGTACATGATGTCATTAGGCCCCACCCTGTGAATCTCAGAGTTTCGGAGGCTGGAGATGGGACATTAGACAACACTTAGAAGGGGCCTGTTTTATCATCACAGGGTAAGGAAGCCACCATTAGGGTCGGGTGCTTTCCCTGACCACCCTCCCAAGGCTTTGTACTTGCTCGGCAGTGCCGCTGAACCGAGCGCGCTCAGAACTGCAGCCAATCAGGGCACGGAGTCCAGAAACACTTGCTCAGCTTCCAGAATGGGCAGTGGGGAAGCCCCAGGTGCAGTGCTACCTCTAAGCCAGGGGTGGCCTAACTTCAGATCGATTCGGGAGCCACGTGCGGCTCTTTCACACAGTCTAATTTGATGTTCATAAAAAGCAAATTTGCATATTTTAAAATAAAAATGTGCGTGCGATTAATTGTTCGTGTCTTGCGGCTCTCAAACATCTGGCATTCATTCTGTGTGGCTGTTACGTGAAGCAAGTTTGGCCACCCCGTGGAGTCTCGTGAGCAAAAATCCTACTTTGTGACCTACTGGCATTAAAGTTGCGAGCGAGCGATTTGGCTACTGCATAAAGTAGTTTGCTTTGGAGCCCTCCTTCCTGAGCCAAGACAAAAATGTGTGAGCCGGAGGCAAAAAAAACTGTGAGCTGGCTCACAATAACTCAGCTTAGGTGGACAAGTGGTAATCCAAGAGGCCAACTCAGATGTTGAGAAAGATCACACCACAGAGCAGAGCAGGTAGGGGAGTAGGAAATGGGGAAATTACTAGTTCTGCCTCCCTGTCTTTTTTCTGAGATACATGGGCCCATGGGCGCGAGCGCATCATGAGCTGTGCCCTTGCATGGGCATCCTTGTTTTGCCATTTCCCAGAATGCTCCGGGCTGGAAAACATGTAATGGGATGGGATGCTCAAAGTGAGGCTCCAAAGTAACCCTCCAGCCACTCAAAATGAACAGTGCTCAGGATCATCCCACTGGGGGTGCGTGCTGGCTGCGGGGAAGGAGAGACACAACGATCCTAAACAGGGGTCATTTCGTAGAAGAAGAGGTGCAGGAGCTCATTAGCATAACTTATTTGCATATGCCATGCCCCCTGAAGTGTGTCAGAAGGCAACACCCACCACTCAGGCTCCACTGGACTGTTTTGGATTGCTAGCTATTGGGGGCGGGAACGTGCAGATCTGCCCTCACAGAGGAGGGAGAGCTCGTGCCTGAATAAAACTTGGTCTTAAAGGTGCCACTGGACTGTTTTGGATTGCTAGGTATTGGACGGGGGGGAACGTGCAGATCTGCCCTCACAGAGGAGGGAGAGCTTGTACCTGAAGAAAACTTGGTCTTAAAGGTGCCACCGGACTGTTTTGGATTGCTAGCTATTGGAGGCAGGAACGTGCAGATCTGTCCTCACAAAGGAGGGAGAGCTCGTGCCTGAATAAAACTTGGTCTTAAAGGTGCCACTGGACTGTTTTGGATAGCTAGGTATTGGACGGGGGGGTGGGAACGTGCAGATCTGCCCTCACAGAGGAGGGAGAGCTTGTACCTGAATAAAACTTGGTCTTAAAGGTGCCACTGGACTGTTTTGGGTCTTGGGGGGGGGCTCTGCAACTTACCTGGCTGCTTCTTGCTCTGACTGAGGGCTGCTGGGAGCAGGGGGTGGGGCTTGTTGCATGTGCCCGCCCCCTGGGCTCTTTACTGCCGGAGCTCCGCTCCTGTGCGCTCCTGCAGGAAATGACTCCTGATCCTAAATACATTAGTTGCTGTAGATTTTCCGGGATCCTAAATACAATTAAGGAATACAGGATTCTGATCATTCAGAATTTTGTCGCTTTGTCTCGAGACTCTCCTAGGCTGCCGCCTTGCACAATGACTGAGGGTCCTTGTGCCAGAAAGAACCATGCAGTTCGCCAAACAAGAGCTGAAGTTTGGGCTCGCAGGACCAAAACAACAAAAAAAACCATAGATTTTTAGGCTGTGCTTAAGGGAGGGGAAATGACCTGCAGGGGAAATATTTTTGCAAGACTGCCCTACCTATTGTGTGTGTGGGGGGGAAACGCCAGAAAACAAAAGGAAAAAGTTAGCAGAGGAGGTGGTAGATTCCTTGCATACAAAGCAGCAAAGAGACTTGGGGGGGGGGGGGGGGAAAAAAAAATAGATAAAGGGTAAAAAAAAACCTTCATAGAATCATAGAATGTTACAGTTGGAAGGGTCCTTGCAGGTCATCTAGTCCAACCCCCTGCAAGACTTTTCTCATGGAGAATCCAGATCAATCTTATTAGCAGACCATCTGCGATAACTAGCCACGAGGTGGCTGAGGTGAGAAACCTGAGGGGGGGGGGGAACCCAGCAGCAGAACCCTCAACAGGCCCTAAGACAGTTTATTGGGATAAACTCTACCTGTCTCAGATGTCAAATTCTTCTTTGGCTAACAAAACAAGCACACAAACAGAAACGAACAAACAGAACCCGGTTTTATTCCAGTGGCGAGCCTACCATCACTGTACGAAATCTACTATTGTAGATTGAATCAGTGGCGTATTGCACCTTCAGCCTCTTAATGGATTTCAGAGCTAAAACACATAGCGTTTATCACAAATTGTTTTCCTGCCACCCAGGGAGGATTTCTTGTCTGCCATCTCTTGTCTTGTTTGTTTGGTGCTCCTCCCCCTTCTATACACAGATAGGGCAGTCCTGCAAAAATGCCCCCCCCCTGCTGGTCATTCCCCTTATTACTCAGCAGAAAAGAGCAAGAGTCCAGTAGTATCTTAAAAGATTTCAAAGAAGTGAGCGGTGTTGTTGTTCAGTCGCACAGTTGAGTCCGACTCTTCGCGACCCCATGGACCAGATCACGCCAGGCCTTCCTGTCTTCCACCGTCCTCTGAAGTTTGCTCAATTTCATGTTCGTTGCATCTACGACACTGTCTAACCATCTCATCCTTTGCCGTCCCCGTCTTCTTTGACCTTCAATCTTTCCCAGCATCAGGGTCTTCTCCAGTGAGTGCTCCCTTCTCATTGGGTGGCCAAAGTATTTGAGCTTCATTTTCATTATCTGGCCTTCCAGGGAACAGTCAGGGTTGATTTCTTTTAGGATTGACTGATTTGATCTTCTTGCAGTCCAAGGGACTCTCGAGAGTCTTCTCCAGCACCATAGTTCAAAAGCATCTATTCTTCGGCGCTCGGCCTTCCTTATAGTCCAACTCTCGCAGCCATACACGACTATTGGGAATACCATTGCTTTGACCATGCGGACTTTAATTGGCAGGGGGATGTCTCTACTTTTTATCATGCTGTTTAGGTTCGCCATCGCTTTCCTCCCAAGGAGCAGGCGTCTTTTAATTTCTCCTACCCTGCCACAAATTTAGTTAAGTCTTTAAGGTGCTCCTGGACTCTTGCTCATTTCTATTGCTACAGACAGACAAACACGGCGACCCATCTTGATCTATCTCCCCCGCTTATTAAAGCAGAGTCAACAATGTCTCTGGGCTGATGTTTACCCCCATTTAGAACATACACACAGAGGCCTGGAAAAACGGCAAGACCCGCTTTCTTTCTTGTGGCAAGACTCCAGGAAAACGACAGGGGACACTCCTGTGCCATCTGAACCCTTCTGAAAACAAGGCAGGTGGATGGCTCAGAAAAGTTACGACTGCGCATGGCAAAGCAAGCTCTGCTCGCTTGTCTGATGGCAACCTGGAAAGCTAGCCAAGGGCAATGGAGGCGCCCTACTTCCAGACCGTGCTGTCTAAAGGGGCGCAACCACACAGTGACAGTTTCCAGCTGGGCCCACAATTTTGCTAGTCATTGGGGAGGAGGAGAGGGTACCAAACGAACCAAAAAAAGGAAGCTATAGAGGGTACGCACAGAAGACACAAATGAGGGCATGTCTCTATCTTGAGTCTGGCTCAGTGCTGCTTTGTGTGTCTCTGTGGGCAGGGTGGTGATAAACAAATGGTCCGTGCAGGATGATGAGATGTCCTTCCCTGGCAACCGGGAGCCGGCACCCTACTTTTGAGAAGGACCTCGGGAAAGCAGACTTGCAGACGCTTCCCTGTACCTAGACCTTCTGATAGTGATTTTATTAAATTTGTAAGCGCCGTGAAAAGCATAGAGGGAACCCCTAAAGCAAAACCATCTGAAACTCAAATGGGAATTTAGAAGAGGAGCAGATGGTGTGCTTGCATTCAGACAGGACACAGGCCACGGAGCCACCAGGACTGCGACTGGACTGTTTTATGCATCCCAACAGGTGAGCACAGACTTGTTTTGGTCCCTCGAGGAGAAACGGCTTTGTCACCATTTGGTCCGGATGCTGGTAACCAGGTCCCCGGGGAGGGGGGGGAAGGCTAGCGAGTCCCACTGCCCTTCCTAGCCACCGGCTAGTTCTCAGGGCTGAATTGTCCCGGAAGAAACGCAGCTGCTGCCAAGAGCCTGCCTATTTCCTCCATGCCTCTTCCCTCGCGATGCCTTCAGGCGGATTTCTTGGTGAGCGTCCGGTTCTTCCATGTAATGATGGCTATGAAGACTCCTAAAGAACACAGAGGGGAGAAATCTCATGACAGGCACAAGCAGAGTGCGCCTCCTTGCCACCCTCCCAAAAGCCACAGTTAACACGCTGCTCTCCCAGTATTGGAGAAATGAGGTGATTCAGTAGAAAGGGAGCTGTGGGGAGCGGCCGGTGTTCCTCCTGCCAAATCTATGGGCTTACGCATTCCGACAGCTGAAACGAAGTGAGATCTGTGCTATTTAGGGCCAGACGATACAGTCTGCAGAATAAAGCTTTACCTGGACTCGACTGGCTGCACGTGCAGGGTGAAAGGTTTGACTCCTCTTCCACAGAGCCACTGCACATAGAAAACCAGACTACCAAGGAGAAGGCGAAAGAATACTCTTAACCCAGAGTGTTCCATTTCCACTATATAAAGATTCAACATCCTACCTGCAGCCTGAAGTGGTACCGCCCAGGGAAAACTTTACTGCCAGGCTCCATGGCATTTATAAACCGGCTCTTAATGCTTAGCACTTGATCATTACCAAGAGAGAGCACCATGTTCAACACTCACCTCTCCCATAAATGTACTATGTGGCCTCAGCCAAGCCATACTCTCTTGGCCTCAACTCCCCCTGTGTAGTGTGGGGATAACACTGGCCTACCTTACAGGCCTGTTGTTAATGAATGCAGTAAAAACATACGTCAAGCACTTTGGACACCCTCATTCCAAGGAAGACCAGAAGCAAGTGTTGCGGATGACTTGTTCATCCTCCTCTTTATTACATTTTATTCTAGAACATGTTATGCTCTGGTATTCTTAAACTGATTGTATTACATCTTTGATGGAGCTAAGGGTGGCACATAAGATTCTCTCCGCCCGCCCCCCTATAATGTCAGTCAGGCTGAAGGTGAAAGCAACTGGCCCAAGGTCATCCCATGAGTTTCGTAGACAAGTGGGGATGTGAAGCCAAATTTCTGTGTGGTCTGCCACTCTAACCACCATCGACCCACTGGCTCTTGAGGCAACCATATCCCAGGTGCATGTCATTATTTAAACTCCATAAGAATCTGTACAAGATTTTATATAAAAGCATGCTACCGTATTACAGTCTGCATGATTTTGACTTATTCCTTTTTTGACATGTATGTTCAATTATCTGGAAATCACTATTCAATCAGTATCTATTAATATCTATTAGGATTGCTATATTAGTTTTAACCTATCACAATCTTTCAATACATAGGGTGTATAGTGTATGTTAAAACTGGAATAGATTTAAAAAGTGTTCTATTTTCATTTCATTGTCTCTCTCTCTCTCTCTTTCTTTGATGTGGCTTTAAACATCATTGTTACTCTAAAACTTATAATAAGGGAGCTGAAAACCAAAGTATTTTGGAGAATATTGTCTTTTTGTTATATACACTATGCACAATACGAATGTCCTTGATTAATATAAATAATGTTATATAATTAATTTTCCTTTCCTTGCTCCTTTCCCACTTTTTTCTGTATTCCTAGTAACTTTTAAACATATATATAAATATACACACACACACACTTAAAAGAATCTGTACAAGAGATAATTCCTTTGAACATGTACAACATGTAAAAAGTTACAAAAACTGGGCTCACACACACTAAATAATCCACTTTCAATCCACTTTTTCCACTGGATTTTGCCAATTAAAAATCCAGTTGGAAAGTACATTGAAAGTGGATTATTTAGTGTGTGCGATAGCAGCCAAATGGTGATTCTGCATCTGGCATTTGCTCCACATTTTCTCAACACCAGGGGTCGTTTCGCAGAAAAAGACCTAGGGGAACTCATTAGCATATGCCACACCCCCTGACATGGCGGGAGTGCAAGGAAGCCCTGTGAAGGTCCTCCGTGGCCCCAGGCAGGCAGGGGTGGGGAGAGGCAGGGAAGAAGCAACTTACCCTCCCTCTTCTCCTGCCTCCTCCTGGCTGAATGAGGGCCGGAAGCGGGGCGGCCGAAAGCGGGGGGGCGGGCTTCGTCATGTCCCCCGCCCCCCTGCACCTCACCCGGGGGAACTGCGATCCCCCGCGATCCCCCCGAAATGACCTCTGCTCAACACTGAGGGAAAGGTGCAGCTCAAAACCACATTCAAATACCTCAGAGCCAACACCGTACTGACTGCAAAGTCACCCCTGAATGGCCATAAATCTATGCAGAAGGCACCATAAAACAAAAGCAAAAGCAGCATGGAGCGTGGAGGGTACCATAAAGTCTGATGATCAAAGAAAGTGCAAGCCGCATGCAATGCAGAGGGGAGTTTCTGTTCCAATGTGGGTTTCGTAAAACAATGGAGGGAAAAGCCAGTGCAGAATTACCCAGAGTGTGACAGGCACACCAAATGGAAACTGGAATCTGGGTGGTGTCCATGGGAGCAAAGGAGAAAGCTTGCCAAGGCACGGTCATAGTAAAGCTGCCCAGTCAACTAAACACCATCCCTTGCAGAGCTTCCACTGCAGGCTGTGATTTGACTCACCGACAAACAGCAGCAACAACAGCCCAGCAGCCACAGGGATGATGACCGAGTATTCCCGGGGCAAGAAATACTTGTGAATGATGTGGTCGCTCTCAATGAAGGGCTGTGGAAACAGACACAAATGTCTCAAAGACACGGATTTGGGCCTGTCCCTTCTAGGGTTTCAGGTTACCTTAAATGGCATTGCTACATATGCACAGCTTTCCACTTTTGCACTGGGAGTTTGTGGCTGCCCTAGCTCAGCACTTGAATGCTGGCTCTGCAAGCGGAAGGTCCCAGGTTCAATCCCCAGCAGCTCGTTAAAAGATCTCAGAGAGTCAGCTTTGGGGAAGCCCACTCTCTGCCTGAATCCCCCCATATAACTGCTGCCAGTCATACCCCCCTCCATTGCTCTGCTAGGACTTTGCATCATGGAAGGGACTGTGGCTTAGTGAGAGAACACCTGCTTTGCAAGCAGAAGGTCCCAGGTTCAATCCCAGGCATATCCAGTTGAAATTACCAGGTAGTGGTTAAAGAAAAAGACTTTAGGCCCCGGAGAGCCATTGCCAGTCTGAATAGATGGACCAATGGTCTGATTCAGGATAAGGCATCTTCATGTGCGTTCAAGTGTTCCAACATGCAATATTTATCCTGCAAGGTGAAATGGCATCATCCATCCCACCTCATTCTCCTGCATGAGTGAACCAGACCTCAATTACCACTTTTTCATTTCCAGTCTCCTCATTAAATATCCTCTACTTTCTTTTTCGGCACCTCTTTAGCCTGCCTCTCTTTCTCATTGCCCCTTTTCATCTGAATTATTTTGACACATCACATGACTGTTACGGCGTCTCAGTGGTGCATAATATTCTGAGTCCAGCAAGATCAACTACAGCTGTCTGCAGAGCTCATAGAGGAGTTCTACAGTCAGAGTGCCATCAGAGGAGGCCCCACAGAACACCTTCATGGACAAATCAAACAGAGAATTACAAACAGAGCCTCCTCTATATAGTCTGACATTTCCCCTCAAACAGGTCTAGAAATGGAAGGATCTGTGATTGTATTACAGTAAACAAAGTCCGTACCAGAATGATAATCCAGATAGTGTAGTAAGCAAAGAGAGTCAGACTGAAGGCTACTAAGCCGTACCCAACCACCTGGTCAGTAGCCGTGGCCTGGAACACAAAGGGGGGGGAGAAAAGAGTCATTCTTTTTATTGACAAGATGTAATTTGCAATGTTAGTTTTGACTTTTTGGGGCTATTTATTTATACAATAGATTTAAGTGGCACTTAACCATTTCAGAAATATGTCTGTAAAGAAGCATGCAGGTGAAACCAAGAAAGGTCAAGATGAAACTAAATTAAAAACAAAGCAATAAAAATAAAATAAAAAGCAATCAAAATATCTTTTTTAAAAGACCCTATTCTTTTGGGTAATCAGAACACCACACAAACTAAATAATTATGAAAAACAAGACTATACTACATTACAGCGATTCAAAGAATACCCCTATGCTGACCAGAAGCTTACTCCCTGCAACCAACATCTAGTGTATTCTACTGCTGGAATAATACTTTTTTTTAAGTTACCAACAACCAAGAGTAGCAGAGAAAGGGCAAATGAACGAACCTAGCTTGCCCAATAAGACCTGTATCAGAAGTCCGCAGATCGAGCCTGCCTCCAGAAGTTGGGCAAGTAACAGACTGGGAGAGAAACTTTTCTGTGCAGCACCCCAGTTGTAGAATCTCCGTAATCCAAGCTCCTCTAGCATGATGGATGACATTTAATTTTGAGTCCAGCGAGACCCTGTTGTTGTGCTCAGTTAATTACTCTTAGGTAAAGGTTCCCTTGCTCGAAAGCCAGTCGAATCCAACTCTAGGGTTGCGGTGCTCATCTCCGTTTCAAAGCCGAAGAGCCAGCGCTGTCCGAAGACATTTCCGTGGTCATGTGGCCGGCATGACTAAACGCCGAGGCGCACGGAACGCTGTTACCTTCCCACCGAAGTGGTCCCTATTTATCTACCTGCAATTTCTTGCTTTCGAACTGCTAGGTTGGCAGGAGCTGGAACTAGAGACAGGAGCTCACTCCGTCTTGCGGCACCCGGGTCTTGAACTGCTGAACTACTGACCTTCCACAGCCTGCAGTACAGCGTCTTAACCACTTGAGCCACCGCAGCGTCATTAATTACTCTTAGGTAAAGGTAAAAGTTCCCTTGCTCGAAAGCCAGTCGATTCCGACTCTAGGGTTGCGGTGCTCATCTCCGTTTCAAAGCCGAAGAGCCAGCGCTGTCCGAAGACGTTTCCGTGGTCATGTGGCCGGCATGACTAAACGCCGAGGCGCACGGAACGCTGTTACCTTCCCACCGAAGTGGTCCCTATTTATCTACCTGCAATTTCTTGCTTTCGAACTGCTAGGTTGGCAGGAGCTGGAACTAGAGACAGGAGCTCACTCCGTCTTGCGGCACCCGGGTCTTGAACTGCTGAACTACTGACCTTCCACAGCCTGCAGTTCAGTGTCTTAACCACTTGAGCCACCGCAGCTCCTCTTAATTACTCTTAGCATCCCACAATTAAGAAGGGTACATTTACATATCAGTCTCCAATTTATTTGCTTCACCACGTTTTCCCCAGGAATTAAACTCAGCTTGTTATTCCTATTTGGTCCTCGCATCTGTTAAAACACCTTCATTATGCTGTATGTTAATTTGCTGCTCACCCTCTACCTATATGTATGGACTGGAAACTTCCATTTCACTGTATCTGATGAAGAGCGCATGCACAGGAAAGCTTATACCCAGAATTAAACGTTGTTGGTCTCAAAGGTGCCGCCGGACTCAAAGTTTGTGCTGTTGCTTCAGACCAACACATTTAAGAATGAACATGTGAACAAAAAGAAACTCTTTCCAAGCCCAGTTAAGGATCCTCTGCTGAAAAGCACGATGCAATCGAAACAAGCCACCCTATATAGAGCAAGCAACTCACCATAACTGACGTGAAACTCCTTTTCTCTCACAGTCTTCCTCCACTCTATCGACCGCAATTCACCTAGTTCCGGCCAAGTCACCCAATCAGGAAGCAAGTGATAGAGATTTGGGCTAGAGCGGCAAGCGCGACCGCCGTTTCCGTCCGCATTTCCGGCCTCTGCTTTTCTTCTACTCCCTCAGTCTTCCTCCACTCTATCGACCACAATTCACCTAGTTCCGGCCAAGTCACCCAATCAGGAATCAAGTGATAGAGATTTGGGCTAGAGCGGCAAGCGCGACCGCCGTTTCCGTCCGGCATTTCCGGCCTCTGCTTTTCTTCTACTCCCCCAGTCTTCCTCCACTCTATCGACCGCAATTCACCTAGTTCCGGCCAAGTCACCCAATCAGGAATCAAGTGATAGAGACTTAGGCTAGAGCGGCAAGCGCGACCGCTGTTTCCGTCCGGCATTTCCGGCCCCGGCTTTTCTTCTACTCCCCCAGCCAAGGCGAAGTACGCACGACGATGCGTTTCACCATGGGGATACTAAGTGGATAGATGGGCACACTTCCCTTGGCGTCCAGCCCACAAAGTAGCCTCCGCAAAGGTTTAAAAGGGGAATTAGACTAATGGAGGAGGGCCTATGGGGGGGCTGCCAGCTGTGGTGGCTATTATTTATTTGTTATTTATCCTATTGCATTCCTTAAGCACCTGACGAACTGTGGGGCTCTACGTGATGGGCATGAGGGGACATTCAGAGGCCATAGAACTCTGAATCCCAGCACTAGGAGGACGCAGCAGGGGAGTGATTGGCCACTGTGTGGGACACGATGCTGGACTACATGGACCACTGGTCTGATCCAGCAGGAGTCTTTTCGTGGCTGGTGTCTCCGGCCAGTCACAGACTTTAAGCCCAACTTCCCTGAAGCTAAAATAGAGAAGGAGAGATCATGTTTAGGCTTGTTCAAATCAGTCAATCCTAAAAGAAACCAACCCTGACTGTTCCCTGGAAGGCCAGATAATGAAACTGAAGCTCAAATGCTTTGGCCACCCAATGAGAAGGGAGCACTCCCTGGAGAAGACCCGGATGCTGGGAAAGATTGAAGGTCAAAGAAGACGGGGACGGCAAAGGATGAAATGGTTGGACAGTGTCAGCGACGCAACGAACATGAAATTGAACCAACTTCAGAGGACGGCGGAAGACAGGAGGGCCTGGCGGGAGCTGGTCCATGGGGTCGCGAAGAGTCGGACTCGACTGTGCGACTGAACAACAACAAATATTAGAATGATGCCCCTCCTCAAAACAGAGACAGAGGACTGAGCATGCTTCACTGCCTTCGCAGTGCTGAAAACAAGGTGAGATACATACAGAGGATGAGAAGCTCACACCTCTCAGTTTGGTTTGTAAAAGGTAAAGTGCACGTTCAAGCAGCTTCACTTTGCCCTGGGCTGTTAGGGGGAAAAGAAGGAAGTTTAATCCTTCAAGCTCTGTGAGTTTTGCCATTGAAAACTGGCTCAGCTCTGTTACTGGGTTGTTGTTTTTTAAAGCAAGTATCTTTTTTTAAAGGTCGACAAGTATCTTTGCAGATAGGGAAGCAGGTTTTGAAAAGCGAACATCAGTGCAGACTGACGGGTTAAACCGCTTTTTCTTCTATAAATAGTCCTGAGGTAAAGTGAAGTGCCTTGAATTTGCACTTTATGGACAGAACAAGAACCATGATTTTGTGAGCTGGAAATTTTAGGAAAAGAAATAGCCTCATAGCCAGGAGGAGGATATTCCCTAATCATTTATCCCCCCCTCCCATTGATTCTAAGTCTCCTGCTTGTTCTTTCTAACAGCAAAGTTGATGGTTAATTGCCAGCCAGTAAGAGAAGAGAGAAGAAGAAGAAGAGATTGGATTTATGCCCCGCCCTTCACTTGGAGTCTCAGAGCGGCTTACAAACTCCTTTCCCTTCCCCTCCCCACAACAGACACCCTGTGAGGTAGGTGGGGCTGAGAGAGCTCTGACAGAAACTGCTCTTTCAGGAACAGCTGTGCCAGAGCTTGTGACTGACCCAAGGTCACATCAGCAGGTGCAAGTGGAGGAGTGGGGAATCAAACCCGGTTCTCCCAGATTAGAGTCCGCGCACTTAACCACTACACCAAACTGGAGGAGGTGAAAAACAACAAACAGGACCACGATGTATAATAGCCAGTAAAACAGTAAATCACCGTGTACAATTTAACAATATTTGTTAGTTTTTATATGCAATGTTTAGAATTCAATTATTAACAAGATTACAACAATAACACTACAATGTACAATAAAGCTTAGCAGTACATACAAAGTAATACAGTTTCTAGTTACAGACAAACGTCGGCGTTCTAGTACACTATCCGTTTTCGTGTCCTTCATCAGGTTTGTCATTCTGTAATTATTTCTTCATTAGCATGAAGTACTGCAAGCTGCAATGGAGTGTAACATACTTAATAACCAAAAACATAAAAAATACTCTAATATACAGAGGAGCATTTTACATTTTATAAACTCACCCATATTTCAAAATGCTAGTCCT